GCAGAATTTGATGTGTTCCTTGGATAAGAGGTAAAAGAAAGAACTAAGGATGAATATCAGATTTCTAGTTTAGCTAGGCATGGTAATGCACGCCTGTAATTCCAGCACTCAGGAGGCTGAAGCAGGACGGTTGTAGTTTGAGGCCAGCCTGGACTACATAGGGAATTCAAGGCCAGTCTGAACTATGTAGGGAGACCCTGTCACAAACCAACCAACCAACCTGCCAACCAACCAACCAACCAGATTTCTAGTTTAGAAAACTGGGATGCTAATCGCATCAGTCAAGCGCACAGAGAACCAAGAAATTGCCACTTACCATGGTGTGTGCTTAGGTACTCTCAGTGCAGCTTTCCCAGTCTCTTACTGAAATACCTGTGAAGATGCAAAATATAGCAAATGTGTAGGAATCAAGGTGGTGTTTGCCTTCACCTTTAGGGCAGAATTGAGGTAAATGCACCAGTCTCATCGCGGGGAAATCGGAAGCTTGGAAAAAGGTAGTGAGTCTTCACCTATCAACCATTGCCATCCCCTGGGCTCAGTCACCCGGGGCCTCCCCCAGCCAGGTACTGGCAGCCTCTCAGAGCATCGCCTGGTGCTGTTTCGGAGGCTGGGATATTGTCTTCTCCGGTTCCTCTGGGTTTTCTCTATTTTATGGTACAGGTCCCCGCTGGGCAGGCAGAATCCAATGGCGATACAGCCTACCTGCCAACCAACGATGCATTTCCCACGATGAGGCATGGCCCACGTGAATAGAGTACTAAGGCAGGGAAGGGAGAGTCCTACAAACAGGGTGTGCTGGAGGCTACCATTTCTCGGGTGTTCCATTAGTTTATAGACTCAGTGAGGAACAGGAAGCTGGGGTCAGCTAGAGCAGGGCTGCCGTGAGTAATTGTCTCCCTAGAGCTGGGAGTTAAATTGGGAGCGGTATGAGTTAGCTTGTCCTTTTGTGTTGCAGTTCACGACCATGGCATGGTACAAATGATGAGAGATTCCTTGGACTCTGTGTCCAGCTTAACCTCCAAAAGGGTCCAGGGGGGCTGCCTTAACTGAGACCTCTCAGTGAGAGAGAATCTCAGGAAAAAACAACTTGAACTGAGGCTTCTGTGGCTTTTTATTGATAGAACCAGGAAACAAGGATAAAGGGCAAATGAAGAAGGCTGGCTGTGCATGAATTCATTGAGGGGAGAGGGGAAGGACGGTGGGGTCAGGTGGTCTGTTAAATGGTTGACCTTAGGGCCAGTCTGAGTCAGAGTACGGGGAAGCTGTCTGAGCATTCATTCCTTAAGGCAGTGTAGTATTCCTTGCCCACTAACATGTCAGCACACTGGTACAGGGCCTGTGAGTGAATTCAACAAATTAAGGTTATCAGCGGAGCAAAAGAAGCCAGGAATGGGGGTATGTGCCAACAGTTACAGTACTCTGAGAGGCTGAGGCAGGAGGGTCAAAATTTGAGCACAGTTGGGCACATTAGCAATTTGGCAAGACCCTGTCTCAATATTAAAAGGATCAAGGATGTAGCTCACCACCACCACCACCAAGAAAAAAGGAACAAAGATTAGAATGTCCACTGCAAAATGTGCAGTAGAGTGCAAGAAGACACTGCTTTTATGAATTCTGAATAAACAGCCAAGGAAGGGAAAAGCTGAGGAAACTAAAAGACAGTCAGCAAGAATTAAATACATAAAAATGGCAAAAAGAGCAGAGGTTGTAAGGGCAGAAAAATCTGTGATGGGGACAGCATTGAAGAAAAAACAGCTGTGGAAAGGGTGCGGTAGAGAACAAAGCCAGGACACGTGTGAGAACCAGAACAAATGGGACTGGGGTCATAAAAGTTTAAAAAGCTGGCGCTTGCTGGATGCAGTGCACGTCTGTTATCCCATCTGCTCGGACTCAGGCTGAGGCAGGAAGATTGCAAGATTGCAAGATTGCCAGCCAGTGCAATTTAGACCCTAACTCAAAATAAAAGATAAAAAAAGGATCTGAGGTAGCTCAATGGTAAAGCACATGCCTAACACACTGAAGCCCTGGATTCCACCCCTAGCACCACAAGGTCAAAAAATGGGCTGAGCATTGTGGTACATGCACTCAAGAAGCTGAGCCAGGAGGATAACAAGTCCTGGACTACAGAATAAGACACTGTCTCAAAAAAACAAATGAAGCTGGGCGTGGTGGCACACACCTGTAATCCCAGCACTCGGGAGGCTGAGGCAAGAGGATCACTGCGAGTTTGAGGCCAGCCTGAACTGCAGTGAAACTCTGTTTTAAAAAGCAAAAAAAGAGAGACATCTCTAATTTGTAATTGTTCCTCCATTCTTTCTCAGTAAAAAGCTCTCTGTATTTGCTCACTACTGCAATGACTGCAGTACATCAGAAGAGTTGGAATTGCTGTATCATTACCATAGTCCTTTTTTTTTTTTTTTTTTTGGTGGTACTGGGGATTAAACCCAGTCTTTGCACTGAGGTACATCCCTAACACTTCTAATTTTTAATTTTGAGACAGGCTCTTGATAAGTTACTAAATTGTCCAGGCTGGGCTCAAACTTGTGATCCTCCTGCCTCAGCCTCCTAGGGTCCTGAGATTGCAGACATGTGTCAACCCCTCCAGCTCCAGTTTAGTAGGTGTTTTTGTCACAAGTATATTCACTGAAGGTGGATGGTCTGTTATATTTATCGTCTGCCTGTCCATCCGTCCATCCATCCATCCATCCATGTATCTGTCATCTCTCGATCAAGGCAGGGTATTACTATGTAGTTCAGGCTGGCCTTGAAATCACTATGTAGCCTCAGCCTTAGCCTCCTGAGTGCTGGGATTGCAGGCATACGCCACCACACCCAGCTGGTCTGTTTTGTTCTGAAGCTACTCTCTTTTCCTGCTCTAGTTACATTGTCAGCCTGTACACAGTTAGATTCACTTACGTTTCTCCTCTTGTTTTCAGGGCCACCCTTGTCTCTATCAATTTAATTTATAAACTACATGAAATATTAACATGGCCTAAATGTCAGTATAGTTTTCTCTTAGACATTATTCGCTCCATCCTCGGCTCCTCTCCTTTCCCATGGTCACAGCCTATGAATACTCTTCTTGATGGCGATCTTCCCGCCTCAGCTTCCTGATTGCCCCGATTAGAGGTGTGTGTTGTCACACCTGGTTCTTGTTCTTTTTTGTAGCTGCATTATTCATATTGGTGTTGACATTTCTTTGGTTTTTCTCCGGTACCGGAAACCGAACTCACGACCTTGCGCTTGCCAGGCAAGCGCTTTGCCGCTGAGCTAAATCCCTAGCCCCAGTGTTGACATTTCTTTATCTTTTCTTTCTTCCTTTTTTTTTTTAACCCCCAGTGCTGGGGATTAAACCAGGGTCTTTGCATTGATCTACATTCCCAGCCTTTCTTTTATTATTTATTTTGAGAGAGGATCTCACTAAGTCACTGATTTGCCTGGATTGGATTCAGACTTTCAATCCCCCTTGCCTCAGCTTCCCAGATTACAGGGAAGCTGAGTATCACCACACCCAGCGCTGACATCATCTCTGACATGTTACTGTTATAAGTACAATGATCCCTCACCTTTCGCGGGAGTTACATTCCAGAGACCCTCGAGATAGGTGAAAATCCATGAAGTAGCGGTGTTATATTTATTTTATTATTTATATATATTTTAAGGCTTTGTAAACCCTTCCTACACTCCTATAAACCTCTCCCACTCTCTTGTTAACCTTTCCCACACTCTTATAAACACTTCATATGTTCTTAAACATTTCCTGTACTCTTAAACCTATGTAATTTTAACAACATGTAAAATTCAGTATGGGCACAGTACAGGAGAGCAAACAGACCATCGATGCGACGGTCACTGAGCCAGTCAGCACCCAGGACACAGAACACAGTGCTGTGGTTGGTCGCCTTCCATTCCATCAGCCAGTAGTGTGCCGTGTCACGTTGGCAAACTTGCTCAAGTGGTAGTGGAGTACTGCATTTCCATTATGTACAGTATGGTATTCATCCGCTGATGAAATACATACTATATTTTATTTTGATTTAGTATTCTCTTAATATGTTTGAATTAACATTTTAATATTTTTTAGATTGTTTTAAATTTTTAGGCAAAAATAATTAAAATCATAAATATTATATAACTACCTATATACCACAAAATCCCATGATATAGCGAAAATTCGGTATAGAATTAGATATTTTTTTTAAAAACTGGAGATACAGTGAAGCCACAATAAGTGAACCACAATATAGCGAGGGATGAGTGTAATGTTACAATGAGTATTTTTTAAATCTTTGAATTATACTGACAAAGGTAAGTCCTGCAGGCAGCTGGCACAAACATAGGCACGAACATAGACAGTTTAGCTACAAAGAAAAATAAGTTAGTTTGAGTTTGATATACAGTGTTTGTTTTGTCTTGGAAGTTATTCTTAGTCCTGCACAGTAGCAGTATCTGCAGTCCCAGCTCCTCAGGAAGCTGAGGCAGGAAGCCTCTTTGGAGACCAGGAGTTAGAGGCCAGCCTGAGTAACATAGGCAAAGCCTGAATCTTTAGAAAGGAGAACAAAAACTTAATCTTTAAGTATACATGCGTACAGTGACTTTGCACTGTTTGAACTGACTCCTTGGTGGTCACACGCCTGTCTCCCGTGTTTCTGTTACGGATACTGTGCTTTGAGGTCTCACCCCCGCTGCAGACTCGGCAGAGCAGCGCCTTTGTGTCTGTACCTCCCACTCTCACGGGGCTGAGCGGGCGGTCTGTCTCATGGTCTGTTTCCTGTTTGGGATCGTCATCTCCACACAGCCGGGTTTGGGGACCTGAGAGAATGTGTGACACTAGTAGCTACTTAACATACAGTACTTACTGATTGAAAGAGGACTTTTTAGAGATCATTACAGCTTTAGAAAATAGTGACTAGAAGGAAATTGTGTTTACTTCTGTTTTTCCTAAAACCACATATCTGTTAAGTTTATTTTATCCTTCATTTTTCTCTCTTCAATTTTAGTGTGTGCAGAAGCTTATAACCCCGATGAGGAGGAAGAAGACACTGACCCACGGGTAAGGATTGAAGGAAAAGTGTTCCATAGAATTGCATTTTACACTTACGCCCTTTCTTTTTTTTTTTTTTTTTTTTTTTTTTTCATCTTTTTGAGGCAGGGCCTCACCAGCAGTTCAGGCTTGCCTTGAGCTCATTTTGTAGCCCAGGCTGGTCCAGAACTTGCAACAATCCTCCTGCCTCAGCCTCCTGAGTGCTGGGATTACAGGCGTGCACCACCACACCCAGCCCAAATTCTAACCATACTGATAATTAAGAGAAATACAAATAAAAAATTTTAGCAAGGGCTTGCGGGGGGGACAGTACTAGGGATTTAACCCAAGTACCACCCCCACCCTTTCGGACACATAGTCTTGCCAAGCTGCCCAGTCTGAGTTCAGGCCTTCAGTTTTCCTGCCTCAGCCTCCCACAGTTCTGGGATTACAAAAATTATGCTGTTACCTTACTGATGGAAAGCAGCACTGGTAGAGGGTGTGGTGACAAGGAATACCTTGCTGTAGCTGTCAGAAGCCTTAAACAGTCACGCCAGTAGCTCAGCTGTCACCCAAGGGATTATTCACCCTAAGGAGCCTTCCCAAGAATGTACAAATGGAGGTCACTACAGTGTTCTAATAGTGAAAGTTGCAACAACCTAAATGGCCCTAAATAGGGCACTACCAGGGGCTAAATTACGTTACACTCAAATGAAGACAATCTCTACCTGTTGAAAATGATTGTATAGGGTACGACTTAGTGGCATACAGTGTGTGTGTATATATATATATATATATATATATATATATATATATATGGTGCTTTTTATAGAACATTTTGAAAATTTTTACTGTGTTTGTTTGTAGTATGTATAGAGAATTGTATCTGGGAGGATATATATACCTCATGGAGTATATCCAGTCTCGACCACTGGAGATTCTGGAGAGCTAGTAACGCAGCCTCCCCAGTCATAGACTTGTAACATTATTAGATGATCTTTAGTGAGCCCAGTGCCAGGACATGGACTGTGTAGGCAGCAGCAGTGCTCTCTATAGGATGGCATGGTGTGGTACGGCCAACACACACACGTCACATCCTGCATGTGTCAGACACTGCCTGTGCTTAACTCAGAGACCACTGACAGTAGTGTTCCAACCTACCATTATGTCTGTGCCTATTGAAGACAGGTGTTTATTGTTGTTAAACCGACGCGTAGGTTTCTTTTATTTAATTGGGCTTGTGTTATTTTATAAAATAATAAATTAGGGGGCTGGGGATTTAGCTGAGCGGCAAAGCGCCTGCCTGGCAAGCGCAAGGTCATGAGTTCGATTCCTGGTACCGGAAGAAAAGCAAAAAAAAAAAAAATAATAATAATAAATTAATATTTTTTAGCAGCTATATTATAGGAAGGACAAAAATATATCAGTTTTTTGTCCATGATATTGTTAGAATTATAACATTGCTAATACTGGAAATATAAACAGTTATTAACTTCTAGAGTGTATAAAGTTGCAATCACACATTCAACTCAGAAAAATTTGATCATGTCTCTTTCACTACTGGAATTTTATTTATTTATTTATTTTTGAGATAGAGTCTCACTGTAGTGCAGGCTGGCCTTGAACTCACTTATGTAACCCAGACTGGCCTTGAACTTACAGCAGTCCTCTAGCCTCAGCCTTCCAAGTGCTGGGATCACAGGTATGCACCACTATGCCCGGCTCTGTGGGAATTTTATAAGACCTGTCCTCCCAGAGAAAAATGTCCTTCACCCCATAATCATAGCTTGTTCATGTGAATGCTTTTTTGAAGCATGCACATTTGTGAACATTTTCAAGGCACATGAAGAGTAAAATTAAAGCAGATATTTCTTGTGAGCACCTTGAGAATTCACTAGAAATTGCAACTACTTTCACTGAATCAGACTGCATTAGTTTCATAAAGAAAGATAAACCATTCCACTCTTTATGTCTATGTTGCCTTCTTTTTTTAAATGTTATAATAAAAATAGAATAAGGGAAGCTTCGTTGCATCAACTACATCATGTATTTCCTGCGTGGCCTGGTTCCTTCATCAGTGCAGCCCAGAGGAGTTGAAACTTTGAACACCGTGCCTTACATGGTAATAGTACTTGTTAAGGCAGGACTAAATTACTTTCCTAAAAGCAAATGTAGCCAGGTGTGTGATCCCAGCACTCAGGAGGCTGAAGCAGGAGAATCACTGTGAGTTCAAGGCCAGCCAGAACTACGTAGCAAAACTGTGCCTCAAAAAAAGACATGTAGATTTTTTTTTTTTTAATTTTAAGAAATAAAAGAAGGATAACATATCAACAGGCAGACATCCATGTAAGATATGTAGATTTAACACTTCTAAAATTCTGGATATTGTAAAATTCTTGTTTTGTTTTGTTTTGTTTTTTGGTACCAGGAATCAAACTCAGGACCTTACGCTTGCCGGGCAGGCACTTATGCCACTGAGCTATATCCCTGGTCCCATTCTTGTTTTTGTTGTTACCAGGAATCGTACTCAGGACCTTGTGCTTGCCAGGCAGGTGCTGTGCCACCTGAGCTGTATCCCCAGCCGTAAAATTCTTGATGACATCTAGTGAGTTTTCCCCCTCAAGACTGAGGGTGTAGCTCAGGACGCTTACATAGTGTACGTGACATGCTTGGGTCACAAACAAAAGAAAAGTACACTTCCTCCCTAATTTAATACCATAAATTAAAAATACTTGATATTTATTTCTCGTGAGATTAGATGGTATGCCTTTTCTTAGAGTGAAGACATTGTTTAGAAGTGAACTTGATCAGCCTCTCAATATTTATTTAGTACTGTGGGTTGAACCCAGGAGCATGCTAAACAAGTGCTGTACCATTGAGCTATGTCTCCAACTCCTCCACCCACACTTTTTTTTTTGAGATGTTCTCCTAAGTTTCCAGGCTGGCCCAAAACTTGCAGTTCTCCTGTCTTAACCACTTGTCCTCTTAATTACAACATCCAAGATTAGTCAGTAGTTATTTCTTTTTTTAGTTAAGTAAACATTTATTAGCTATAGTAATTTTTGATCACATACTAAATGAATACACGTTAATATTTTAAATACAATGTGTATTATTTAATTCTTACGACACCACTGACACAGATGCCATTACTACTGCTAATAAGCTGCTGCTGTTTCACCCGCAGCTTACGTAGCCAGTGTTTACTTGCAGTCTTTGCGGAGATGAATAACAACGTGAACTCCTAATTATTTCTCTGTAAATACTGTTTTCCTTTCAGCCTTTCCCAGTTTACTTCATGTCCACTCCATCATTCAGTTGCTTGGGGCCAAAACTTTGTAGTAACCTTCAACTCTTTGCCCTTTTTCTTACCAACTTCCAGTTTTTCATTAAATCCACTGAGTTCTGTTTCCAAAACATACCCAGAATTCTATACTTCTATCACCTCCATGGCTGCCATCCTGGTCCAAACCACCACCATCTGATGTGTAGATCTCACTTATCCAGTGAGATCTTTTAAAAATATTAGTCATGCCGGGCGTGGTGGCCCTTGCCTGTAATCCCAGCACTCTGGAGGCTGAGGCAGGAGGATCGTTGTGAGTTTGAGACCCGCCTGGGCTACAAAGTGAGCTCAACGTCAGCCTGAACTGCATGACGAGACCCAGTCTCAAACAAAGACTCACACACAAAAAATGAGTCATATTTCTTCTTTAGTTAATATATTTTGTTTGTTTGTTTTTCTTCCGATACCAGGAATCAAACTCACGACCTTGCGCTTGCCAGGCAGGCGCTGTGCCGCTGAGCTAAATCCCCAGCCCCGGTATTTCTTCTTTAGTTGCTACCTTCAGATTGCCCCCATGTTACTAGAGAAAATTCCACTTCTACGACCTAGAATGCTTTGTTGTGACTTGGCATCCCTTTACCCCTAATCTGTCTCTTGATCTTTGCCTCTCTGCACCAGTCACCTCTTGTTTCCTTTTTTTTTTTTAAGACAGATATGCTATATTTCAGGCTGGCCTCAAATGCACAACAATCCTCCTGTTTCAGCCTTTCAAGTGCTGGTATTATGGGCATGTGCCACCACACAGGGTTTATTTTTCTCACTTTTCCACCATAAACCCTGTTTCCCTCCTCCGCCCCCTCCCCCTGCTCTCCTGCCTCTCCTCTTCTTCCTCCTTTTTTCTTTTTTTAAATTGAGACAGGGTCTCACTACATCGTTCAAGCTGGCCTTGAACTCGCTACGTAGCCCAGGCTGGCTTCAAACTCACAGCGATCCTCCTGCCTCAGCCTCCCAAGTGCTGGGATAACAGATGTGCAGCCCCATGTCTGGCTAAAAGCCTTGTTTTACTTGCTCTTCTCGCAGAGATATCCACGTGACTCTTGCCCTCAGAGTGTACAGAACTCCTTTGAGGCCTCAGGTGGTCACACACTCACACACTCTCACACTTCTGTGTCCCTTGTCCACCTTCCTTCCTCCTTTATCATCATCCCGCTCTGGCATATTTTATGAGCTTACTGAATATGCGGGAAGGTATTTTTGTCCTTCCACTGCAGTGTTCACAGAGCTGGGGTCATGCCTGATACTGAGTAGGTGCTCATTCTTTGTTTTCCTTTCCAATTTTAGTTTTTTGCAACAGGTCTTACTGTGTAGTTCAGGCTGGCCTTGAACATGCTTCAGTCCTCCTGCCTCAGCCTCCTGAATGCTGGGGTTGCGGCTGCCACACGGGCTTCCTTTTCCCCTTCTCTTCTTTTTTTCCTGCTCTCCGCTCCGTTTCCCTTTCCTTGACAGACTGGCCTGCGTTCGGTGCTCCTACTCAGCTTCCTGAGCCTGTAGCAGCCTTCGTGCCCAGCTCAGGGTGTCCCAGGCAGACTTGTGACGCTGCTTCGTGAGCAAGACCCTGGGGGCTGCCACGGCCGACTGCCTCTGCTGCGGTGATGCGTGGTTTTCTTGTCACTCTGGATCAGGGTGCCTCCACTTCAAGCCTCCTGCTTAGTATTCCTGTAAAATTAAGGTTATAGGAAAAGTGCTCTTAATTTCCCCCACTTCTTTTTTTTTTGAGATAGGATCTCGCTATGTAGCTCAGGCTGGCCTCAAACTCATGGTGGTCTCCTGCCTCAGCCTCCATGGTGCTGGGATTACAGGCATATGTCATCACTCCTGTAATGTGGCCAGTTTCCCCCACTTTTAGTAGAAAAACGTTGGCAGTTTATAAAATGGAGTAAAAATTTTCACTTGCTGTATTTGCATTGACAGGTGATTCATCCTAAAACTGATGAACAGAGGTGCAGACTTCAGGAAGCTTGCAAAGACATTCTTCTTTTCAAAAATCTTGATCAGGTAATACCGATTTTTTTTTTTTTTTTTTTTTAGGTAATACCGATTTTTAAACTATTTTTGTATAATGGTCTTTTAGCTTTTTTCCTGTATGTCATTTAAAGATTTTTTTTTAACATTTCGGTCGTCATGGTATGAGGCTGAAACTTCAGGTTCATTTTACTTTACCAATGTATTTATTGTGTTGACCACTATAACATGGGCCTGACTTGTTAATGCCTTTTAGTATTTTTCTGATCTGCCTTGGCATTTCCTCCAGGATAATACCTGAAGGACCATGGGGTTATGCGGGGAAATGCTCGGGTTTGGAGGGTCTGAATTTATGTTGCAAAGGGATTGATTTCTCCGAAGATCCTACTCTGCACTCTCCTCCGGCAGCAGTTAACCCGCTGGAGTGTGCGATTGCTTCTCACAGCTCGTGCGGGGCACCCTTAAAACTGCTTCTCGGTGATGACTTGAGGTACGGGGCGCTTGTTGTAAGTCGTGTGTCTACACAGCTTAGAGGATCTGTAGCGTAACTTGTCCTCTTAGTGACAGAGATAGAGGGCAAGGGCTGCCTCCAAAGGGTGGGTGTCCTAGTACAGTCAGGCTGTTGTAACAAAATACCCTAAGTCAGGTGGCTTCTAATAGCACAAAGGTGTTTTTCACAATTGTGTGAGCTAGAAAGTCTACGACTCCTTTCTTTACCAGTATGTATATATGTATACATTCATTCATTGTTGCGGCTGCGAATCGAACCCAAGGCCTAACAGTGCCTGGCAAGTGCTCTTCCATGGCCTTATTGCTAGTATTTAAGTAAGGGATTTCAGGCAGCATTGGGTCACACTCTGCGTGAGTGTAGATGGCATGTGGGTAACAGCTCATCCATTTATTTGTTTATTTTTATCCATTTTAGTATCTGTCACTTTGCACAGTATTCGCCACCCATGGAAGCCGGGGGTGGTGGTGCACGCCTGTAATCCCAGTAGTTGGGAGGCAGAGGCAGAAGATCACCGTGAGTTCGAGGCCAGTCTGGGATACATAGTGAGTTTGAGGCTAGCCTGGACCACAGAGCAAGACCCTGTGTGCAGAAAGAACACACATGGAGCTGTGTAACTAAAGATGCACTTTTGGCAGCACTCACTTATCTTGGGTAGCACAGTCACTAACAGAACTAACGTTACATACCGCACGGATTTACATAGCAATAAAAATATTCTCTTGCTGGGTCCTCCATCTGCACCCCTCCAAAGAAGAAATTTCTAAGTTGAGGATGGAATTCCTTAGTGGCCTGACAGTCGCTCATCTCACTGGCTCAAGGCTGAATGCCTATTTAAAATTTAATGGTATTGTTTTCTTTTCATCATACTTATTGGCATAGTTACTTTCTGTTTATGACAGATAATTCTGGTTAGTAAATATATTTATTATATATGAATGAAGTAGTGTTGGCTATCTGATAATAAATCCCTTTTATTAATTACTTATTATGTGGTAATTTCTTTCCTTAGATTTTCTCTTTTAGTCACCAAAATTTATGAGCCAGAAACTTTATCATACCTTTTTTACACATGAAGAAACCGAAACTCGGAGTGGTTGGTGATGTGCTGGGCTAGTCAGATGCAGTTATACTACCCCACAGGGTGACCAGTGAAACCTTTGTAGCCCTTTAGGTTTGACAGTCCTGTTAATGTCAGCCCCTAAGGGAAGGTGACTTTACAAATGAGATACTGGAGCCATCAAGGTGGGTAATGGTCCTGTGGGTACAGCTGAGAAAATTGGCACTATGATTCAGGTAACCTACTTTTGCATAAATGATGGAAAACTTTTTTGGGGGCGGTACCGGAAATCATACTCAGAACTTCTTGCTTGCCAGGCATAGAAAACTTTTTTTTTTTTTTTTTGTCTTTTTGAGACAGGGTCTTGTTATGCAGTTCAGGCTGGCCTTGAACTCGCTTTGTAACCCAGGCTGGTCTCAAAATCATCCTCCTGCCTCAGCCTCCTGAGTGCTGGGATTACAGGCACATGCCGCCATGCCCGGTGGAAAACTTTTCTGAAACAATGTTATCTCAAAAACTTGGCAGTTTTCTTGTCTACTGAGGTACATGGAGGTGCAAAGCTGACTGGCCTCAGAAGGGTATTTATTTCAGATAGCCCTTGGGTTTCTGCTAAAAAATGGCGAACAGTCTAGTACGTGGACTTCTATTGTGTAGTCACAAATTGAGATAAACATGACTGTTGTATGTTTCCAGCAAATGTAAAAGTCATCTTTTTCTCTGTGTGTGGGTGCCCTGTAGGAACAGCTTTCTGAAGTTCTCGATGCCATGTTTGAAAGGACAGTCAAAGTGGATGAGCATGTCATTGACCAAGGAGATGATGGAGACAATTTTTACGTCATAGAACGGTAGGAGCTGGAGCTTTGTAGTCGCGTGGCCACTCCTAGTAGATTCATGGTACGGGTGGATGCATTACCCTGTCTTTTATTTAGCCCAGCGAGGTGTAGTGCCAGGTAGCCAAGCTTTCCAAAAGCTTGCAGAGGACCACAGCCTGCCCCCTCTATGTGCTGTTGTCCTGAGTCCTCATTACAACCCGTATTTGTACCCACCATTTACAGTAGAAAATTTCCTGCATAGTTAAAAGGTAAGGGTAGCGTGTGCTTCATAAACATGTCATAGGCCAGTGTTCAAGTGAATTGATTTCTAGAACAGCCACACTGTATTGCAATTTGGATCTGTGAATTTGAGCCTGACTTTACGCATAAATGCACTACCCTGACCTCTGTACCCCTAGCCTCTTTTGGCTCTGTTCCAGGTATAAGCCATACTGCATGAAATTAAATACTTGGGTGTGACGTACCCATGTCGCTGTATCTTACCCTCTGGATTTGATAGTATTCTCTTAGATTTCCCCTCTTCCTCTGACAGTCCTAAATGGAGCACCTGCACCAGAGTTCAAAGTAATACAATGCTGCTTAACCCAATGTCCTCCATTAATCTTTTGAAGTAATTTCAGAGTTATAAACTTACATAGGTAGCACAGAAAATTCTTATAACCCAGGTTAACGTTCTGTCACATTTCCTTTACCAAGTCACCGAGAGTAAGAGGTGCAACATCCTTTCGTGTCTGCCTATCTCAGTGTACATTTCCTAGAAGAAAGGACTTTCTCTTACTGAAGCACAGAACAAGTATAAAAATCAGAAATCAGCATTTATTCACTAACGAGTCTAATACACAGACCTTATCCAAAATGTTCCGTTTATTTCTTTGATTTTTGAAATTCTTTTACTCCTACTCAGGTAGCTATGCTAGATTCACTTGGTCCCCCTTGTATCAAGCTTGTTCATTTAGGTTTTTGGACAGAGTACACTCTTACTCCTTGGGTCCTTGATACCTGTGACTGTGAATGTGAAAGGAAATGCTTTATTTAAAGAGTAAGAATGTTATAAATAGTATCTTCTCAAAGGAAAGATATTTTATCCTTGATCCTTCATATGTAGAAATTTTGTAAGTGCTGACAGTAACATTACATCGCCTCCCCTAAGAGCCGTTGCATACCTTGTGTTGCTTACTCCACCAGCGAGACAGACGTCCCGGCCGGTGCCTGGCACCTGTACCTGCCAACAGCACAGAGATGGAGACGCCTGTCTGTGAAGGCGTTAGTTAGTTAGCACGTTCAGATGAGGGCTTACCCTTTGTATGCAGTGAATGTGAAATACTGTCATTCACGTAAAAAAAAATACAGTTCCTCATGTTAAAAGACTCATTGGCTAGTCAGAGAGGCAGACCTTAAATAGGTGATTAATTATATAATGTGGTGGTAAGAGTATGTCCTGTCGCTGAGAGGCGTACCGGGCGAGGTGCTCTCTGCAGTGCTGCTGGCAGCAGTGGTGTGCACCTTCCCCAAAGCCAAGTCGCAGGTGTCGCCGGGAGGGCATAGCCCCTGCCTCTGCCGTGTCCACAGGCCTAGAAGTAGTCAGCTTCCCTGTTGAGTGGTGAGTGCCTTTGAGAGCAGTTGCCACACAGGTGGGAGTTGACTGGTTGTGTTCTCTGCTTTTTATCAAATGTGTGACACTTTGTGACTTTATGAATGACATCTCTTTATAGGCAGTTTTTGAAAAAAGAAAAAGCACAGTAATTGACCCATAATCTCACCACTAGACTGCCTTCCTCCGTTGCTTTCTCCGGGTTTACCTTTGAGTAGACCCTCGGCCAAGGTTTGGCTCTGACGTCCACTGATGACGCTGTGTGCACACTAAAGGAATAAGAGGGAGCGTGTTACTCAGGTCCCGCGGCTTTTGGAAGAGAGCAGGGAGGGGTCACAAACAGGTCCGAAAGAGCTGAAACAGCAGGAGAGGTGACTTGCCTGCAATCTTATGCCCTGTGGATGGGAGGGTGGAGGAAGAGCGCTCTGGCACCTGGGCTGGCTGTGTTATTTGAATTCCCCGTCAGCACCACACAGGGAGCTTCCAGGCATTCTCATGTGCTTGCCCAGATGTAGGTCATAAGAAAAAAGGATGAGTGACAGAGCGCTAAAGCTGTCAGAAGCTAAATACCAAAATTTACATACAGATACTTTATATTGGGTCATACATTATTTGATCTAATATCTAAAGTCTGTTTTAAGCAGTTTTCCATGAAAAGCAATATTATTTGTCATATTTTTATTCTATGAATGTATGTAGGTAGGTACATGTGTATTTATTTTTGGCAATACTAGGGATTGAACCCACAGAATACTGAACTACATCCTCAGCCTTTTTGAAACAAGGTCTTGCTTAAGTTACCCAGGCTGTCCTCAGACTTTTTTTTTTTTTTTTTTGTCCTCAAACTTGTGATCCTCCTGGCTTAGCCTCACAAGGAGCTGGAACTTTTGTTTGTTAATTTGTTTGTGGGTTTTTCTTTTTTTTCTTTTTTGAGACAAGGTCAAGCCTATGTAGTCTCACTATGTAGTCCAGGTTGGTCTTGAACTCCCAATGATGCCCTTGCCTCAGCCTTCCAAAAAACTGGGCTTACAGGCAAGCGCCACCATGCCTGACTTCAGTTGGTTTTTGTTTTTGTTTTTTGTTTTGTTTTTGAGACAGGGTCAAGCTATGTAGGCCAGGCTGGCCGTAAACTCTCAGTGACCCTCTTGCCTCAGTCTCCTGAGTGCTGGGATTACAAATGGATTATAAGCATGCACTACGGTGCGCAGCTGGCCAGTTACTTTTGAGACAGGGTCTCACTGTGTAGTCTAGGGTAGCCTTGGACTTGCTGTGCTGGACCGCACTAGCTCTCTTGCCTTAGCCTCCTGAGAGCTGGTATTGGAGGCTTGTGTCACCACACCCTGCACACCTGGCTTTTATGTCATCATTTTTAATGACTGCATAAAATGGTTGTAAACATATATTTAACATATTTCCCCTCTTGTTAGCAGAGTAAATTATTTGTATTTTTTGCTGTACTAAATATTACCTGGCAAGCTTTCCTGCAATTGTCTTTTTCAGAATTGTTGATTCTTTTGGCTTAAATAGAAATGGAATATTTTGTCAAAGATTTGTCTCTTTAAAGCATTCGCTATAGGCTATTGAACGTCTTACAGACACTTTGGAAAGTTGATGTTTACCTCAGTGTTGTGTTGAGAGTGCCTGTTTCTCCAAGTGCTTGTCAGGTCTGAGTATTTTTCTTGAGCAATCATTATAATCAGTAGGTAGATAATTACATATCATTTACTTTTTAAAAATTTATTTATTTATTTATTTTTGTCTGTTTGAGACAGGGTCTCGCTATGCAGTTCAGGCTGGCCTTGAGCTCACTTTGTAGCCCAGGCTGGTCTCAAACTCACAACGATCCTCCTGCCTCAGCCTTCTGAGTGCTGGGATTACAGGTGTGCGCCACCACGCCTGGCTGTTTACTTACTTTGTATTACTATATCCTGATTTTCAACAAATTATGAAAGAAAACCTATACAGGCATTTCAATAGCTGTAGCAGAGCACTTGATAAAATTCAGTACCATTTTATGATAAAAATGCTCTACATAGTAGGGATAGAACGAACTTTTTCCAACCTAACTGAAGGCATTTATGAAAAATCTAAAATGAACATTGTACTTAATAGTAAAAGATAAAATGATTTTCCCTTAACAATGAGAATAGTAAAGGATGTTTGTGCCAACCACTTCTGGTCAGTCCTAGCCAGTGCAGTGCGGCAAAATAAAGAAAAGAAGGGCATATAGATTGAACAGGAAGAAGTAAAACTCTGCAGGTAACATGATCCTCCACATAGAAAATACCAACAGTGCTACAGAAATGCTATTAGAGTTTAGCAAGATCACAGACTACAAAGTCAAAACGTAAAAATCTGTTGCATTTGTATATACTAGCAAATTTCTTTTGGAAATCTTCTGATGTTTTATGTTCTATGCATTCGCCAGCTCTTAGATTAATTTTCAGAAGTGATTGTTTCTTGCCACTCTCCCAGGGGAACCTATGACATTTTAGTAACGAGAGACAACCAGACTCGTGCTGTGGGCCAGTACAACAACCGAGGCAGTTTCGGAGAACTAGCTCTGATGTACAACACCCCGCGGGCTGCCACCATCATCGCCACCTCCGAAGGCTCCCTGTGGGGACTGGTGAGTGACAGAATGGCTCTTGTATGGGTTCCTTCTGGGTCTGGGCCCATGGGCTGTTGGTTCAAGTTATCTTTTAAGGCTAGTTATCTGAAAGACATTGTGAAAGGTCTCATGCAAATGTGTTTTTCCATTCTGTAAAGTGGTTTATCCATGAACCATGTGCTGTAAGTTATAGAAGCATAACTAGGTCTTACAACCATGTCTAGTATACAACTCTTTATTACCTTTCTTGTTTTCATCAGACAAGTGGAGAGAGAGAGATGATAATCTCCATACAAGAAGTAGCCTAGAAGCTAGGTATAGAGCTGTGTACCTATAATCGCAGGACTTGAGGGGCTGAGGCTGGAAGATTGTAAATTCAAGTCCTGCCTGGATAATTCAGCAAAACCCTCTCTCAAAACAGAGCCAGGCGTGGTGGCACACGCCTGTAATCCCAACACTTGGGAGGCTAAGGCAGGAGGATTGCTGTGAGTTTGAGGCCAGCCTGAGCTACATAGGGAGATCAAGACCACCCTGAATTACAAGTGAGACCCTGTCTCAAAAAAACCCCAAACAGCTGGGGATGTAGCTCAGTGGCTAAGTGCCTGCCTGGCAAGTGTGAAGTCTTGAGTTCGATTATTAGTACCCCCTCAAAAACCAAAACAACAACAAAAACCCCAAACAAACAACACTTTTAAGATGTAGTGGTTTGCACCTATAATCCTGGCACCTGGGGTGTGGAGGCTGAGATAGGAGGATTGAAAGTTCAAGCCTAGCCTGGCAATTGAGCAATTTATTGAAAACCTGTCTTAAAGCTTTTTTTAATTAATTAATTCACTCATGCACTCATTCACTCACTCATTTATTTGAGACAGGGCCTCGCTATGTAGTTCTGTCTGGCTTTGAACTCACTATGTAGCCCAGGCTGGCTTTGAACTCACAGTAATCCTACTGCCTTGGCCTCCCAAACTGTGGGATCAGGCATGCTCCATCGCACTTGGCAAGTTTTTACAAAAGGGCTGGAGATGCAGCCCAAATGGAAGGCCCTGGGTTCAATACCCAGTATTGAAAAATGAAAGAGAAAGGGAGGTAGGGAGGGAGAGAAAGAAAGAGAGAAGAAAATTAAATAGAATAGTATGCACAACTACAAAATACATATTCTTTTCAAGCCCATGGAACGTTTACCAAAGTAGACCATATCCTGAGATATAAAACTTAACAAATCTAAAAGAATTGAAATCAAAGCGTGCTCTGTAACTACAATGAAATGAAACTGGGTATCAGTAACAGATAACAAAAATCTCTATAAACACTTGGAGGTTAATACATTCTTAAGTAATCCCTAAGTCAAACAGAAATTCTCAGGCGAAGAATTTTAGAACACAGTGGAGTAGTCAGGCCTGGTGGTGCATGCCTATAATCTCAGTATTTGGTGCATGCCTGGAATCTCAGCATTTGGGAGACTGAGACAGGAGGATAGCTCTGAGTTTGAGTCCATTCTGAACTACATAGTGAGTTCAAGGACAGCCTGAATTATTGGAAAAAGCTTGTCTCAAAAACAAAAACAAAAACCCAGCCCCACAATGGACTGTAAAATCACCCACCTTGTGGCTGGGTTACGGAGTATGGGTGTAGGAGAGTGACTCCTTCAGAGCCACTCTGGTGTGGCTGGGTGGAGAGTAGCACCAGTTCCCCGTGGGTGTGATGTGCTTACCACACCTTTCTTTCTGAGGCTTCCTTTCCTAACACTTGTGCTCTGCCTTCCCCCTTCCTACTCTTCCCTTGGTCTTTTTGAGACAAGGTCTTGCTATGCAGTTCAGGCTGGCCTTGAGCTCAATTTGTAGCCCAGGCTGGTCTTAAACTCACAAGGATCCTCCTACCTCAGCCTCCCCAGTGCTGGGATTACAGGTGTGCGCCACCATGCCCAGCTTCACTTCCTACTCTTGTCCTTTGCAGTCTTCTCTTTCTCTCCCTGCTTTCTTAATTAAGGTTAGTGTCTTAGTTATTTTTCTCTCATTGCTGAGACAAAATATCCGATGCTCAAAGTTAAAGGAGGAAAGATTTATTTAGTTCATCGTTCATAGAGGTTTCAGCCCATAATCAGCTGGCTCCAAGGCAGGGTGAAATAGCAGAGGACAATAGTTCGTTGCAGAGGAAGACAGCAAAAGCAGCAGGAGAGGGAGAAGGGACAAGCGAGCCTCTTTCTGTCCCTGACACCCATAATCTCAACACTCAGGAAGCGGAGGCAGGATGACCACCAGTTCAAGGCCAGCCTGAGCTACTTAGTGAGACCTTGTCTCAAAATGCAATACAATATAGCGCAGTACAGTACGTCATATCACATCTAAATATGTCTATCCCCTGGCCACTTTTTTTGTTCTGCCAGGGGTGAAAGAAAAGTACTGTTAACCTAATCTATAAATCGCTGCTTACCCATTTAGGAACCTTAGACTAAGCACTTAGCATTCTCTCCCTTACGTCCCTCCCACACATATCTGAGCAGAGCTCGAGCTCTGGTCACTCTCCTGATGAGAACTGTCTGCGCGCGTACAGCTTTTCACGTGCCCACCTGTCCCCTTGGGTTTCCTCCCTACCTTGTCATTAGTTTAAACCCTACCTGTCCCCCCTTCAGGTCCCAAACAGATTTTGCTGTGAAACTATTTTATTTCTCCTGTCTATTTTGTATTATCTCTTCATTGAGATTGTAAATTCCTTGAGGGCAAGAACCATTGGATTGTTTTATTTCCTCCTTTTTTAGAAGCGTGTCTTTTTGTTTGTTTGCTTGTTCGTTCGTTTTTTTGAGACAGGGTCTTGCTGTATAATTCAGGCTGCCCCCGAACTCACCGTGTAGCCCAGGCTGGCCTTGAACTTGGGGTAATCCTCCTGCCTCAGCCTCTCAGAGCTGGGATAACAGGCGTGTGCCTCCATGCCCGGCGTGTGTTTTGACATGAGTGACTCTGAGCACGTCAGTATCTGGTGGAGGTTTTTGCTCTGGGCTGTATTCATGACCCGGGGGTGGCACCCAGTGAGCGCTGAACAGCTACAGCGTGTGGGGCTCTCTGGCTCAAACTGCAGGCGTTTTTTTCCAGTTATCACTCTAAGGGTAAACACTCAGTTGACGCCATTTCTTCTGTAGTCCTCTTAAAATTTGCTGTGTTCCAATTAATTAAGCCATAGGCGTTCTCTTACGTGGGCACGAACTAGAATTTTCATATTCTTTCTTGCAGGACCGGGTGACTTTTAGAAGAATCATAGTGAAAAACAATGCAAAAAAGAGGAAGACGTTTGAATCATTTATTGAGTCTGTGCCACTCCTTAAATCGTTAGAGGTAAAGTCTAAATAGAAGCTTGTCTGTGAGGGTGAGGAGAAGCTATTAACCCTACCATTAGGTTTTTCAAACCCTGCTATTCTAACCACTTCTGTGTTGTATAGATAGATTTTCAGCGAAGATCTTCCTGGTAATTTGTGAGCGTCTCCGTTGTTTCAGGTGTCAGAGCGAATGAAGATTGTGGATGTGATAGGAGAGAAGAACTACAAGGACGGAGACCGAATAATCACGCAGGTGAGGAGGGCCTCCCGCCCCTTCCCTGCGGGTCACTGTCTGAGGGCTGCCACTTGTCTCCTGGCCTTCTGCGTCCCCGCTGTGGGGCTCGTGCTGCAGGGCGCCGGGTCGCCGGCTGCAGGCTCCTCTAAGCCCGTCGGTGTGGCTCTCACTGCGTGTGCAGGCTCTTACTTTGATTCACATGTTTTGGTTTCCTGATGTTTTTGTTCTGTTTTGTTTGTGGTGCTGGGGATCAAACCCAGGGCCTTGTGCATGCCAGGCAGGAGCGCCGCCTCTGAGCCACATCCCCGCCCTGTGTTTGTTGTTGTGGATGTCATTTTGTTTTGACCTTGAGTGCACCTCATTTGCACCTCATGTGAAAATCTGGAGATCAAAGGGTTGTGCCTGCTACCTGCTCTACATTTGACACAAAGGCATCCTCTTGGCTAAGGCAACACAACCAGAGCCCTCGGGGTTCCGCGATTAGATACTTTATCTGTAAGCTATCTCTAATATTTCCTTGCATCTTTTTCTCATATTATTTTTGGATATTGTGAGAATCCACACAGTGCACCAAGTCATTATAGTTAGAGTGCTATGTAATAGTTTTACCTATTGTGTTTGCATTTTTAGTTGTATGTAAATAGTATTAGGTATTTTCAGGTATAAGCTTCTTTGCCTGAAGTCTGACAAGGGCACTAGGAGGTCATCTCCTCGTCCTGGGTTAGGTGGTCTGATTACCCTTAAGCACAGAGCTGAGGCCAGAATTCCTCAGTCCAGTAGGTGAGACTATAGGTCTCATGCCTGGATCCCTCACGCAGATCTCGGAAGTATGTCAGGAGATGTACGAAGCTGCAGTGCTTTCTGTGGCGTCTCCTCTTGGAGATGAACTGACAAGAATAAGATGGGGCTCCTCTTACTATAGGCCACTCTTGGCGTTGTCTTAAGCCAAGGATTCTCAAAGTGAGGACGCAAGACTAGCAGCATCTGTGTTACCTAGGAATGGTAGGAATTGTTAGAAGTACACATTCTTGGGCCCCACATCAGACCTACTAAATCAGAAACTGTTCTATGGGGTTTGTTTGTTTTGGTCAACTTTGTTAGGCTGTATTTTACATACAATAAAATTGCCAGTTTTAACTGTGTAATTAGAAGAGTTTTATAACCATCTCCACAGCTGTGGTGTACTGCATTTCCATCACCCCAACAGTGCTTGTGTTATGTTTGCAGTCAGTATTCTTTGTTACACCCTTATTTCAAAAAACCAGTGATCTGCTGTCACAGTAGAAGTTCCTTTTCCAGAACTTCATATAAATAGTCATAACCCATAACAATGTATACGTTTTTGTGTGTGGATACAGAATAGTGTTGAGATTTATCCTTGCTATGTGTTTTAGTAGATCATTCTTTTTTATTGCTGGATAATTTGTCATTATATGAATATACCATGATTTGTTTTTTCCATTTAGCAGCATTTAAAAAAAATTTTTTTTTAATGTTTTTTTAGAGGGACTGGTTCTGTATTTCAAAAAGACACTTGTCAATATTCAGTATCAAAACAGTTGCACTACTGGTTCTGCTTTTTCCTGACTGGTCCCAGAGACCACAATAAAGGGGCATACACTTTAAGGCAATAAGCTGCAGGACGTACACCTAACAGACCTCACAGAAACCTCACTAAAAGTAGAGTTGGGTAGGGGAAAAAACTTGAAGAGATCAGCACACTGCCAGCCCACAGACTGTGGAGAAGTCTTCACAGCCGGATGGGGTAGCCATGCACTCCAACCCTAAAGAAGCAAAATTTCCAAATGATACAAAATTTTAAAAGTTTTGTCCATAAGCTATTCAAGATTTCTCCAGCACTGACTGATACAAAGCACAATGAGAGGGCACTTGTAGACACAGCAGCTTCAGACCCAGAAAAGGGTGAGATGAATTTCATATGGCTGAATCAGTGGCAGAAACATCATTTTCCTTTTCTTTCAAAGAGGCAGGAGAGCAACTATGCGGTCGCCTCAACATTAAGGGAGGGACACACGATCCATTCAGTGAGCATCTGGGAAAGGGAAGAAATGGGAGAAAAATTTGGTCTCAGGCCTGGGGATGTGGCTCAGTTGTAGAGCTCGTGCCTAACATGCGTGAGTCCACCCCTGGGTTCAGTCCCCAGCATTACAAAAAAAAAAAAGTCTCAGATCTCACCATCATCTTATTTTGCTCACTTCTGATGAGAAAAGTAACAAATAAAAATAGAGTTGTCCAAAGATACCTTGAAACTCAAAACCTGAGCAGCATGGCTTTTGTTCTTGGCTGGCTCCTGCTGGGGTCGCCTTTCTGGGCTGGCTGGTGCTTGGTACAGAGAGGTACGCTTTGCCACAGGGGAGTCTTTCCCCGGGCTCCGCGTGCTTCTCCTCCTCTGTGGAGCGAGCACTGTGCATTAGGCTGGAAAGTTACCTTCGAAGTGAGAAGGGAATTAGATGGCTGCTTTGGAGCTGTGCAGTTACTTGGAATGTTTTGCAAATGGTTGCTACAACAGAAAGTTACTACAAATGTGTACATCACAGCATGCTTTTCAAGACACTTTGCATTGTGCTTACGGTCCCTTAAATGTTGTTCCCAAGGGCGCTCAGCCTCTCGCCCAGCAGGAGTCTCTGGGAAGAGGCAGAGACAGTTTGATGAAAAAGACAAGGGGGTGAGGGGTGGGGAGAGGACGTAGAAAGGAGAAAGCAGCCTGCTAGCCAGGCTGGATGCTTATTTCAAACTGCGCAGAAAGGACTGAATGACTTTGAGTGTTGGGGAAAGTTAAAGATCAGCCCTCAGTTTTGAGGTCAGCTTCAGGCAGGCTGGCCTCCGGCGGTGTCGGGGTCAGAGGGAGGAGCAGCGGCAGGGTGGGACTGGGGAGCTCTACCTCTCATTCAGGTCAAACAGAGTCTGGTCCAGCATCCTTTGTGTACAGAGGTGCTCCTCTTTGGTGCATTTCAGCTTCAGCTTATCTTCGAGGTCATCAGTTGTCTTTTCCAGTTTGACTGCAGCAGCATTTATTTTTAGACAGGGTCTTGCTCTGTAGTTCAGGCTGGTCTTGTACTCACTATGTAGCCTAGGCTGGCCTCGAACTTGCAGCAGTCCTCCTGCCTCAGCCTGCCATGTGCTGATATTACAAGAATGCACCATAACCCTGGCTTATAGTTTTATTATCTTGGGAGAATACTTTAGAATGGAATTGCTGAGTCTTATGGCAAATATAATATATTTTTAACTGTAACAAACAACCAAACTGTTTTTGAAAAACGCTGTACCTTTTCTCATTCTCACCAGAAATATATGGCATTCCAGTTGCTCTGTTTCACCAATACTTGGTATTGATAGTCTTTTTAATTTTTGCTATTCTAGTCAATATGAAGTGATACATCTTTAGAAGAGTTCTTTACATACTCTTGAGTATGTATCCTTTATTGGACAAACAGTTTGCAAGTAATTTCCCAATTTGTGGTGATTCTGGTTTCATCTCTTCATTTTTCTTAGTGGTAGCTTTTGGTTTTTTTTTTGTTATTGTTGTTTTGGTTTTTTTTGAGACATGGTTTCACCTATGTAGTTCAGGCTGGCCTTAAACTCACTATGTGGCCAAGGCTGGCCCAAACTTCTGGCAGTCCTTCTGCCTTAGCCTTCCAAGTGCTGGGATTTTGATGTATGACACCATGTCTGAGTCGGTGATAGCTTTAGAAGGGTAAAGTTTTTAATTTTGACAAGTCTAGTGTATTTTCTTTTTCTTTTTTTTTTTTTTTTCCCTGTTTGTACTTTTATGGCTTGCTTTAAAAAACTCACAAAATCATTAAGATTTTCTCTACAGCGTACAAAATCATATTAATAAATCAGTAGCTTTTTAGTATAGCAGTAATGAACTAGCTGGGATATAAATCAGAAAAATAATTCCATCCACAACAACTTAAAGAAACGTTCATAGCAATTTACCTAATCAAGGAGTTGAGATGTCTTTACAATGAAAACTACAGAACACTAAAGAAAAACATTAAATAAGATACTAAAGGGTAGAAAGACCTCCTGTGTTCGTGAGTTGGCAAAATTAATATTGTCAGTGTGGCCGTATTACCAGAAGCTATTGTAATGCCCATTAAAATTCTAATGATATTCTTCATAAAACTAAAAAAGAAATTCATAAAATTCATATGGAAACACAAAAGGTCCAGAATAGCCAGAGCTATCCTAAGCAAAAAGAACAAGGCTGAAGGCATCAAAATACCTGATTTCAAATTGTATTACAAAGAAACACTAATAGAAGCAGCAAGGCATCGGCACCAAAACAGACCGGTGGAACAGAGGACGCAGAGCAAGCATAGAAACAAACCCATGTAGACCCTTCAGCTCTTTGACAAAGGAGCCAAAAAACGTGCTGGGGAGAGGATAACCTCTTTAACAAATGCGGCTGGGAACAGCGTGGGAGACCAAAACTAGGTCCCTGTCTGTACAAAAATCAGTGCAAAGTGAAGGTGGGAGTGGTGGCGCACCCCGAGGCAAGAGGAGTGCCGCGAGTTGGAGGCCAGCCTGGACTACACGGAGTTCACGGCCAGCAAGAGTGGCGCAGAGTCCCCCTTCCACGTTTTCCCTCTTGTGGGACAGTGCTGTGTCCTGGGTTAGATTGACTCAGGGACGTCTGCCTCAGCCGTGTGTGCTGGTCAGAGACAAAGTCTTGTGAGTGCTCAGAAGTAGAGGTTCCCCGCAGACACCAGACCACCGGAATGGGCACATGGGGTCAGCACTGGGTCAGCCCGTGCCTGCGGTCATTGCTGCAGACGTCAGTCATTCGGAGTCAGGACAGAAGTGTGCCCGAAACCCTCTGCGCCCAGATCTGCTTGCCTCACCTCACTCGCTCCCAGCGTTTGCTCACATGGCATTCAGTGAAGCTCCACTGTGTCCCCCGGGCAGCTCCTCCTGCAGCCCTCGTGGCCTGCGCCCCGAGCCCTTTCCTTGCGGCGCCTACCACCCTCCTGCACTGGCTTGTTGCGGCAGCTTGTGATGGCGGACTCGCCGTGCCGTACTGTGTGACCCGCAGGAGCAGGGGTGCTCGTTGGTCTAGTGATCGGTCTCACATACCTAGAACAGAGCCTGGCAAGGAGCAGTCCTTATTGAATTAAGTTGAGTTGCCTGCATGAGTTCATCGGCTAGGTGGTTTAAAGTCAGAGCGTGCCGAGAAAAGCCTGAGGTTTATAAAAGTGGCGTCAGAGCACCTTTCAGCAAGCAGGGAGTTCGAGATGCACACTGTCCTCTTGAGGACCATTTGATGATCAAGAGTATGCCTAGACCCCTCCTCAGGAGGCCCCTTGGCACTGTGGGCAGCAGTCTTGCTTACCCACCCCTCCCAAGGCTTCCGTAGCAAGTCCCATAAGCAGTCAGAACAGCGCTGCTTTGTGCAGTGGCGGCCAGGGCATATTCATGGAGATGAACGTAAGTATTAAAAGATGGGGGAACCAGGCGTGGTGGTTCATACCTGTATGCCCAGCACTCAGGAGGCTGAAGCAGGAGGATCATTGTGAGTTTAAGGCTGGCCTGGGCCGTAGAGCAAGATCCTGCTAAAAGAAACAACGACAAAAAAGATGGGTGCTGTGTTGGTCATGGTTGAGTTAATGTCCCTAGCGATCGGGTTCCACTTGTTCTGTGTTAGCCAGTGATTCACTTGTAGAGCTGGAAATAATAACAGAGCCGCGCTGGGGGTGAGAAAGTAATCTGTGTGCATGTTTCCCCTCACGCTGTGTGTGGCCCTGACCTCCTGTCTTTCAGGGTGACAAGGCTGACTGCTTTTACATCATCGAGTCTGGGGAGGTGCGCATCATGATCAGGAGCAAGGTGAGTGTGTGCGGGTGGCGTGAGGACCAGGAGCCAGGCCACACGCGGAAGGCGCTGTGCCGCCTGGGAGATGTGCTAGGGTCTCCAGCCATCGTTGTGGTGAGGCCTGTGACTGCCAGAGACCCACACTGAAGCACAGCCATCGAGGAGGGGTCGGTTTCCCTCTGGTGCTCCTGCGTTCGCCTCTGCCTGACAGTTAATGATATGAGGAGTACGGGCACACAGACAAATAGGAAAAAGGTAACCATAGTAGAAAGTGGGGCGATTATATAATGAAAAACACGTACTGTGATGAATATGGAGAGAGCTTCCTTTTAAGCGTGCTGTCGGGGAGAGCTCTAGGACATTACATGTTATTATGGTTGTTTGAGAGCCAGGCATGGTGGTGAACACCCAGCACTCGGGAGGCTGAGTCAGGAGAATCACCAAGAGTGGGAGATCAGCTGGCCTACATAATGAGTTCCAGACCCGCCCGAACTAGTGAGACCCTGTCTCAGAAACCTGAGTGAATGAATGAGTGAATGATATGGCCGCTTGATGGATGAAGAGACCTAGAAAACTGGTGATCTATAAACGGGAGGAAGGAGTCTTACCAGCAAGTCTGTCGTCACCAGACTTCCTTTTTTTCCCCCTTTCCTTTTCCTTCCCTTTACTTTTTGAAAAAAAAATTTTTTTGGAGAGCATAGATTGTGTTAAAGTAGTGAGTTATGGCCAGGCGTGGTGGCACACACCTGTAATCCCAGCACTTGAGAGGCTGAGGCAGGTGGATTGCTGTGAGTTCAGGGTCAGCTACATAGTGAGACCTACATAGTGAGACCCTGTCTCAAAAAGACAAAAAAAAACAAAGAAAAGTAGTTCTGTATGAGACCTGTTGGAAAAATATATTTAGTACAGGTTAATAAGTGTGGAAAAAAGAGGGAAAATATGATTATTACAGTCTATAATATAGTTTGGTGTATGTATGCTTACTAGGGGTTTAACCCAGTCCCATTGCACTAAGATACGTCCCCAGCCCTTTCTATTTTGAGACAGCACTTTGCTACGTTGCGCAGGCAGGGCTCCAACTGGCAATCCTCCTGCCTCAGCCTCTAGAGTGCTGGGATTGTAGTCACTTACCACCACATTGGGCTAAGGTACCATGATTCTTAATTAAAAATAGATCCATAGTTTCACATGAAATAGTAATTTGAAACTTTTGTTTTTAAATTACTGACATCTCTGTGAGTTTGTTGTTTCGTTTTCAGTTTTGAGACAAGGTCTCACTCTATAGTCAGTCCAGGCTGGCCTCAAACTCATGGTGGGCTTCCTGCCTCAGCCTCCTGAATGCTATAATTATAGGTGTGTGCCACCTCTGTGTTTATTAAATGTTCAGTAGCACTTCCTGTCATATGGCAGAGTGTTACGTGGGTGGCATCTATCACAGCATGGCACCTGGGAATTGGAGGACTTGTCAAAAAGGCAGAGCTAGCTGGACATGGTGGCACACACCTGTAATCCCAGCACTCGGGAGGCTGTAGCAGGAAAGTCACCTCAAGTTGGAGGCCAGCCTGGGCTACATAGGGAGACCCCGTGTCAAAAAACAAAAACCAAAAAAGGCTGAGTTGTGGGCGCTACCGCAGACCTGCTGAGCCAGAGTGTGTACTGTAGGGAGATTTGGGTTGTGGGAGCTGATGGGTGTACGAGAGAAGCGCTGTCCTCTGGGGGAAGGCGCTCGGTGGAAGAGAGTGTGTCTGCCATCCTGGAGCTGCTGCAGAATTGAGAGAAACACCCACAGTCACGGGCCGACCAGCTTCAGAGCCCACAGGTCACTGTAAAGCAGGGAGGAGGAAAGGTCAAACCACGTGAGCTGGTAAACTTACCTTCCGCACAAGTCAGCAGTTCCCTCTCGGCCTATAACAGAACGTGGTTCTTAGAGACGGAGACTAATTCTTACTAACAAATCGTAAATAATTTTTTACTCATTACTGCTTAGCTCAGCAGGGTGGATTAGTGAAAAAATAGGAAACTCTGGGTTTGAAATACAGTGTAGTGGGTTATACGGTATTTGCTTGGCTGTCCCTAAAGGTGGGGAGTGGGAATACTAACCCAGCGTATAGACAGAGCTTAGACCGTTGGTCTCCGTGAAGAACGGTTGAAGGCAGACAGTCTCAAGTCAAAGAGACCCGGGGTTGTGGCTTATTACCTAAGAGAAGTTCGTACTTTAGAAAGAGTTAGCGGGAGGTCTTGTCTTTCCCACTCTCCAGCAGGAGCTGGCATCTCCCAGGTGCCGTCTGCACCTCTCCTCTTGATATTTAGCCATTATTGGAACAACACTGGGTTTCAGGTGGCGCCCCAGGGAAGCCAGCTCTGTGGTGAAACCAGACCGCTGAGATGAGCGCAGGTGCTGCAGGCAGAGCCTGTGCCGGTTAGTTTCCCTCTCACTGTGTTGGGTGTGCTGAGAAGTTTGAGTGTGCAGCTGGACACGGCCAGCCACGATGCTGGTCGGCTCAGGCCATGTTCTCTGCCCGGTGTAGACTAAAGCAAGCAAGGATGCTGGAAGCCAGGAGGTTGAGATTGCCCGCTGCCACAAGGGGCAGTACTTTGGAGAGCTCGCACTCGTCACCAACAAACCTAGGGCTGCTTCGGCTTACGCAGTGGGAACTGTCACCTGCTTAGGTAAGAAGCGTTCTTCATGTGTTAATACTTCTTCTAATGTGCAGTGTTTTCCCAGCAGCCTCGCCGTACCCCGCCGGCTCTCACTCACATTTAGGCAGGACAGTCTGTCGCCCGCCAGAGATGGGTTGGTGATACATCCTTTTAGCGAGCTTTGTCTGTGGGGCTTTGCTGGGCACTAAACCCAGGGCTCACACATGCCAAGCACACACCTCACCGCTGACTACTCTCTCAGTCCCCCACAGACGTTTCTGAGTGAGACAGACACACACCCCTCCAGTCATATGAAAGCAGTGATAGAAGCAAGGCTGTGGGAGGCAGGGAAAGTGGGTACTGTGGGACTCGCCACGTCTTAAACTTACTGAGTTTATTACCTGGAGTGGAGTTTCCTTTTTTTAATAATTGGAGACAGTGTCTTGCTAATTTACTAAATTGCCCCAGCTGGGCTTCAACTTGGGCTCATCCTGTCTGGCTGTCTCAGCGCTGGGGTTACAGGTGTGTGCCGCTGCACCTGACTTTCAGGTCCTAAATTTGGGTGACCTCATCCTGCTCCATTCATGTGGAAACAGCTCTTTTTCCAAGTGCCGTGGATTTACTTATTTTTTTTTCCACCTGTGGGTGTATTTAGAAGAAGGCTAACATGAGGGAATTTACTTCAATTGTTTGTACAGAAAACTCATTCTCCTTCTCACTTCTTTTTTACAATGTAGTTATGGATGTTCAAGCATTCGAGAGACTTTTGGGGCCCTGCATGGACATCATGAAGAGAAACATCTCACACTACGAAGAGCAGCTGGTGAAGATGTTCGGCTCCAGCTTGGATCTGACCGACCCTGGACAGTAGATGTGCCACATGCCAGAGCCTTCCAGTCAGCCACAGAGCACAGAGCACAGACACGACAGCCGTTCCTGCTGCGGCACCACTGCTGCGACTGCTGTGGTTTGGGGCATTTAGGAAATTTGAAAGTCAGCACTGGGCCGGGGATGTAGCTCAGCGGCACAGCACCTGCCTGGCAAGCGCGAGGCCCTGAGTTCGAATCCCAGTACCAAAAAAGGAAAGTCAGCACTAAAAGATCAGCAGAGGTTTGACCCACACCTCCACTTCGCTTCTGGAAGCCCGTTATTAAACCACTTGTCATGATTACTCCAACCCAGTTCTCGCATCTTTGGTTCAGAATGGCATGTCTCTCCAGCAATTCAAGTGCCTGATACAAAGTCCAAAGTGTAAACACCCTCCTTTCCTCTCTTGCTGCTACTGTTGCTTTTGGAAGTTACCGTGCAGTGCGCAGAAGCCTGTCGTGTAGCTGTGGACGCCGCCTCTGGTCTTTTTCAAGGGAGAGAGTGTAGCCTTCAGTCCCTCCTCTGTCCTTTGAGAAAGTCCACAGTGTGTCCACAGTCACCACCTTTGGTTTCATAGTGGAAGGTGGCACCAGATGTGATGGAAGGCTGTGGCCCACTGGCCTGGGCCTGCCTGCCGGCGTGGCACGCGTTAGGGCTGTTTGCAAGCCCCTGGTGATGCTCATGGAGAGGCCTGGCTGGTTAGTGCTCCAAAGCCGACCGAGGTTAGAATCCACGTTAGAGCTTTAAAAATTGGATTCAGCACATTACACCGGTAGTAGGGAGGCAGGAAAGGTTTTCGGGGTTAGAAGTTTTTCTTCTGTGTTGGTGGATGTTGTTTAGTCTTTGCAGTCTGCATGAATGAATGAATTGCCATCTGTTTGCAAGGAGCCAGGGGTGGCCATTTAGCTCATTTGGTTAGAGCGTGGTGCCTATAGAAGTAGCCAGAGTCTGGAGGCGCCATGGCTCTACATGAGCTGAATACTTTCCTCAGCAGGTCCTGCCGTGTCTTGTTCCCAGTTGCATCTACTAGCAAATGGCAGTATGCTGACAAGAAATTGTGTGCTACACAGACAGCCCTTTCCTTCTACTTGAGTTGTTGCTTAGTTTGGTGTTGAACCATCTATTTTTAAACTGTTTAGAAGCTTTTTTTTTTTTTTTAAAGAAAGTATTTTTCAGTGGGGAATGGTGGTACATGTTTGTAGTCCCAGCACTTGGGAGGCTGAGACAGGAGGATTTCTGTGAGTTCAAGGCCAGCCTGAACTACGTAGCAAGACCCTGCCTCAAAAAAAGAAAAGAAAAAAAGAAAGAAGGAAGTTGTCTGTTAAGGGAATTCCCATTTATTCATCTATATGGAGCTTGCCAGCTGCCCCAGACATTCATTCTAAAGTTTCAGAAATTGTTAGTGTTAGTTTCCAAAAGTTGGCATCATTGGGACTGGGCATACAGCTCAGCGGTGGCCTCCGTCCGCAGCACCACACAAAAGAAAAGAGGAGGCGTCATTGACAGCTCCATAGAGTTACTGTGAAGGCCTTTCTTAAGACGTTGGATATTTGGGGTTCTAATTGTTCATCCCCAAAGAACATTTAAAACATTTTTAACCTTTTAATTTTAGCAGATAAAATTCTAACGTATCATCTTAATTAGCTATATTTCAGAGTGATTTTTTTTTTTTTTTAAATTCAGAATGACTTAGAATCAGATGCTACAAGGGATCCATGAAGTAGAACTCTTTCACACTGTCCTGGGTAACCTGTGTTGCAACTCTCAGAATCATGAAAGGTTGTGTGTAACTAATACCCCAAAACAGGCAGCTAGCACTGGGAAAGCCCGTGTGGTGATCCCACATTTTTCTAAGATTCTTTTCTATAGTGTTGCTTTATTGTCAAGTAAGTGCAGAAAGCAGGTCTTGTACTTCACCAGACAAGAACCACACCTGTCTCTTGCAAAGACCGGTGCACTGGGCTTCAGGAGTGACGCACAAGTCCAGCCCCAGACCTCGCTAGGACCGTGTTTGAATGCTGAGAAAGTGCCCCCTGCCGCCTCTTCATGCCAGCGTTGGTTAGGGCTGTCTGAATCCTGTGCCAGTTACTCTTTCAGGCTGCTGGGATGGCCTTCTCACAAGTCCCACCCTCTGTCCTGTCGCAGAGCCGTCCTCGACACCCCGATGCGTTGGTGGTACTGTCTGCAGGGGAGAGTTCACCACGTTCACGTCCTCCTGCTTTAACTCCTGTGGACGCAGGCTCATCGGTGCAGACCCTCACTGCATATGGGTCTCCTGGGGCAGGGGAGGAAGAAGGTGGACCCCTGGCGTGAGGAAAGGAGACATCCAAGGGAACAGCACAAGTGAGAAAGAACAAAGCCGTTACCGCGGTGTCCGCTCTGCTTTGCAGCTTGGAGAGTCGGAGGGGGCAGACGGGAGCTGACTGAGGGCGGAGGGGCCCCGCTGTGCTGAGCGAGCTGGGCACTGACCGCTGAGCCTCACGGAGGGATGCTTGCTGCAAAGGAGTCCTCTGTTGTTTCTTGTTTTCTTCTAGGGGTTGGAGCTTCATGCCCCCTTTCCTGTCTCTGTGACTGATTTTGGATGGCGTAGAATGTTTCTGACAGGCTTGGGGTCCAGCCTGCAGTATTTCCCTCCTTTTTGGCCCTGTTTTTCTCTTTTTTTGGCTGATTTTCTGAAGGAATGGTTTGTGTGTTCTTATCCTCTTGGTCCACCGTTTCCATATAGAATTATATTATATATAATTGCTATATAGTCTCAAAAGCCAGGAGAGAGGTTTTCTTGGAGCCACTTAGTGAGTGAATCCAGTAGCAAAGCGGCAAGAAGTTCTCCAGCCCGGAGAGGTGGTGTTCCTCCCGAGTGCCAGCTCTGCGCTCAGGGCGGGGCGTCCTGGGCGCACAGCGTGTTGTGTCCTGTTACGGAATACCATCTTCTCCCCCTTAGGAGAAGCGGAGGCACTTTGCACAGAGACAGGGGGAAAGGACCATGAATGTCCCCTTATCTTTTCGGTGGGCTGCTGTTGGGATTTTTGACAGGCCCTTGTGAGATCCGTCTTGCCAAGACACAAGGTGTTTCGATTTTTCACTGTATTACCTCTTGTTCTGTTGTCTTCCTGCTGGCTTCCTCGGCGATTCCTGTGTCTGTGTCGTGGGAAGCAGCTTCCCATGGGTTTCCTCTCACACGCTGGCAGGGCTGTCTTTATACTTAAAAAAGAATGGAAGAAAACTGTCACTAACCTCATGGGGGATTTTCAGAAAATCGTTTAGCCCACCTTGGTCGAAGGGCAGAGTCCTCGTTGTTGTTCTAAGCTTGTAATAAAAGATACCTAATTCAGCATTATTGTGCTACCTCAAAGGTAAAAATGTTCTGAGGTTATGTTTTTGGTCCTGAGTTCCACACATAGTGTTTGGAATGTCTTTCAATTGGAGTTATTTTTTTAAGTCACTGGAGTGAATCTTTATTTTAATCTGTTTTACACTTGTATTTTAATCTCAGAAAAATGATTGGAAAGCAATCAATTTTTGTTTTGTGGTATTCAACATATTTATAATTAAAAGTTGTTAAGAATTAAATCATTGTTTGCCATAAACAAAGTTGGGGTTTTTTTAAAAGGAAACTCTAGGGCTTGGCTTCACTCTTGGTAATAAAGGCTGACAAATGGTGGCTGATTTCCTGGTGCGGTCTGGTGTGTGTCTCTTTGCTCTCTTCTAGGCCATCACAGCCCTCATCTGCGGGATATACTTTTGGATTTTTGGCACAGAGTTAGGCTGGCCTCGAACTCGATGTGTAGCCGGCTGGCCTCCAACTTAAACTCAGGTGATCCTGCCTCAGCTTCCCAGGTGCTGGGAGTGCAGGTATGCATCACCACACCTGCAGATACACTCTTCAGATTGGTGTATGAGCGCCTGAAAGGTGGGGAGAAGGCCTGGGATATGTAGGTGTGCACTGTTAAGGGTTTGCAAAAAAAGCAGCGAGAGAGAGATGGGGCGGGGGATGCGTTTAGTTTCAGTCTGAGTCCAGAGGCCAAAGAACCAAGAGAGCTAATGCTGTAGTTCTTGTCTAAACGTCAGAAGGCTCCAAACCCAAGAGGATCTGATGTTTCCGTTTGAGTCTGAAGGCAGGATAAAAGCTGCTGTGTCAGTTCAGAGGTAGTCGGGAAGAAAACCTCTCCTACTTAGGGAAGGTCAGGCTTTTTGTTCTAATCAGGGTTTCACCTGATTGTATGAGGTGAAAACGAGGAAGTAGTCTGCTTTTTTTCAGTTCACCCAGTTAAATGTTAATACGAATAATGAGCGAGTAAGTATCTGGGAACTCCATGGCCCAGCCAGGTTGACACACTTTTTTTTTTTTAAACACAGTCTCACTATATAGTTCAGGCTGGTCTTGATTTCGTTCCGTGCTTGGGATGGGCTCGAGCTCACAGTGACCCTCCTGCCTCAGCCCCCGAAATGCTGGGATTGCAGGTGTCCACCAGTGTCCAGCTGTAACACACAAAATTGACCGTCGTGGCTGGGGTTTGGATTGTTCTGGATAGGCGCAGGGGCACCCGGTATCCTCCTCACCAGGAAGGTAGTTCGCCAGTGAAACGCAGCAGAAATCTTGCCCGTCTCCCAGAGTTCTGTCATTTCCTTCGTGCAACATGGCCAGCGCCAGCGCTGTCTAGGAGGCCGAGGGAAGCTCATTCCGCAGTAAAGCAGTATCTTCCCTCCAGACAGGTGTGTGCCTGCGCAAAACAGCCAAGTGAGGAGAACACAGGAAACACCCACGTCAGTCCCAGGAAACGAGGTCAGCCAGGCGTGGCGGCGCACGCCTGTAATCCCGGCACTTGGGAGGCTGAGACAAGAGCATCACGGAGTTGGAGGCCAGCCTGGGCTACAAAGTGAGTTCAAGGCCAGGCTGGCCCTGTCTCCTGAATGCTGACACTCAGCTCATTCCTGACACTTTAACCCTAAGGAACGGGTAACAGCCATGATGGCCTCCTGGGTGTCATAGTCGCTTGCTGCCCAGGCACAAGACCTGACACCAGCCGTTTGAAGGAGGAGATGTTTATTGTGGTTCACAGTTCAGTCCATGGTCAGACCACTCCAGGGCAGAACACTGTTTTAGAGAAAAAAGCAGCTCATTTTCAGGAAGCAGATCAAGGGAGGAGCTGGGACGGGAAAGACACCCTTCTGGGTGATGCCCAGAGACCAGCCTCTTCAGCTCCAGCTCTTAGCAGCAAGTCGGCCGTAACACCCCCAGTTCAGTCACCTTCCAAGCCCCACCTCTGAGCACACAAGGCTGTGGGGAAGCCTCTAGGTATAAACCATAAC